TGAAACACAACAAGTTTGCTAAGATTTGTTTCATTCATTGTGCTGCTCTGAAAACAACAGAGCAAAGATTGTTGTCGCATTTATTTAAAAGCAAACTAAAATATAAGATAACATTTTGATGTTTTTCAAATGATTTTCCTTTGATATATATGGTCTTGGTCTTGTCTCGGTCTCGACCTCTAAAAGTCTTGGTCTTGTCTTGGTCTCGGTACTCTCTGGTCTCGATAATGTCTTGGTCTCGGTTGGTGCGGTCTTGACTACAACACTAGTCCTGATATTAGACAGGTAAAAAACCCACTAAATTAAAGGTTAAATTACCTTTACTATAATGGCTCAGATTGTAGATTCAGCAAAGTGTACATTTCCAAATTAACTCCATCAGTACAATAGCATAGCCATCTCATACTCGCTGGGCAACGCCATAACTTAGGGGTTAAATCAGTGACCATGAACCATATCACCGTTTTGAGTCCTGGAGACCACTGTTGTGTGTCTCTCCCTTATTTCCTGTCTTCTCTCTGCTCACTGTAATACTTAATAAAAATTCCCACAAAAATTACTACCATTCTGTTTCTCTGTGTGACAGAAACACTTTTCTTTAATTTGATGTTAAGCTACACCTGCAGATTTTACACTTTAAAGTTCCTATCAAATGTAAAACTAAACAGCCAGCTAGAGAGGGACTTTGTGTTTACAGTAGCCAACAGATCTCAGCGTGTGTTACACCCCCACCACTAGCAGCTAGTGCTATGAGCTTTCATCAGTGTCTACCTTTCAGGTACACGGCCAGACGGACCCGGGACAGTTTGACAGGGAGTACAGTACCGAGGTGGGTTTTTTGGGTTTGGCTCCTGGCATTACAGGGCTGACTCAGTTAGATTAGCTACACAGCTGTTCGAGCTAACTGCAGTAGGAAACACTTTTTCGTCATTGTTGGGCCAGATACTGGCATGTATGTGATATATAGTGCTAGATATATATAACAAAAATACTTAAAGCTGCAGTAGGTAATTTCTGAAAGTTTCAGCAAATATGACAAAAATTATTTTTTTATAAAAGTTACCTACTGCAGCTATAAACATTAATTTTGACTTCATAGGGACTTTAAAACACAACTAAAGGGACAGATTATTCATTCAATTATTTTATCTTTTTTACAAGAGAGACCTGGCCGAAATGGCAGCACAGCGTTACATGGAGGAAATGTTGATAGATTAGATTTTGAGATAATAGATAGACTAGATAGATACGATAGATAGATAGATAGAATAGATAGTAAAGAGTAGATAGATAGATAGATAGATAGATAGAGTAGATAGGATTAGAAACAGGGAAATTGGAAATAGCTGCCTATTCATTGTATAACATGATTACAAATAAAGACCTGGTTCTCTCTGCAGTTGCTGTAGTAAGAAAAACTAAACATGTAGCACATGTAATATAAAGCCTTCTTACACAGTCAATAGGGAGGTGCTTAAACAACACAGGTTTCTGTCCTGTCATGTTAATAATAAAGCCAAGTGGAGTTTGAATTGAAACAGAAGGAGAGTGACAAAAAGAGCATTTTGCTGCCCAGATAGGGCTTTGCATCAGGCAGCCAAGAAAAAAAAGACAGAAAGTGAGAGACGGAGAGAGAGCGGCATAGAAGGAGGAATAAAAGAGGGA